GGTGGCTGCTGTTGAAAGTGTGCAATTCTTCAGCTGCACAGTTACGTATCTGCCTTTAAAATTAGCATGTTGGCGTTATTCAAAGCAAAATAAATGCTTTTTAAACATGTATCTTCAACATAATAATTACTACAGCAACCTGAACAGCAAAGGCACCAGCAGGTTCACATCCCTCAAGCCAAGCTCAGGCATAGTGAGGTTCCACCATGGAGCAGTCCTCAGCAAAGCCACCACATCCTGTGGAGCAAGCAGGGCCTGAGAAAAAAACATTCAGGCCCCAGATTGTTTTCCAACTGTAGCAGACAGACCCCATGCATGTTTTCTGTAGTGAGTGCATTAGGTAAACACTGACGAGAAATAGCTTCTGAGGTGCTTATGAGAGAGTTTTCCTCACTCACTGACAAAAATTAGGTGCTAACCTCCTCCCAGTGATTAAGTGCCTGTTTTCACAAGCATCTGGCCTTGCAGGATCCACTTACTTGGTGAAGTCTTTACATATACATATAAATATACATATAAATATACATATAAATATACATAGACACAGACACAGTCTGTTTCTTCTTCACAAAGCACCTTCAAGTAAAATTCTGAGAACATAGCTTGTCAGCTGATCCTGCTCCTATTCAAATTTCTAGCAAAGCTTGCCTCTCAACTTTACTGGGAACAGGAACTGACCTGAAACTTGCCTGAATCTTGATTTATATTTCTGTCCTGTTATATATGAGAGAACAGTGTTCCTGAAGTACAGCTTTTTCTTCCAGTTAGGAAATGACATGGTTTCTTATGTCAGACGTTATCTATAAGTGTCAGAGCTCACTGCCCTGGCTGCCAAGATTGTGTCATCTCTAGTGTGATAGTACAGCTAGGCTGGAAATGTATGTAATCAACATAGGAGCACAGTTTTCAGACAAGCTGCGAGAAGAATGGGCATAAAATCCTGAATACCTTTAAGATGGAATACAATCAGCTTAAATATGGGAATTTATGATGAGATTGGACTTCAGAAAGTAGGAGCTCTCTTCTAGTCCTGTGTTCCCAATTACTTTAGCACATTAGTTGTCTCATTTTGGTTTAGTGCAAAAAATACTGGAATAATTCCAGTATCTTCTCTTTCTCTTCTGTTCTGGAGAGAACAGTCTACGCCCTTGGGAATTCCAGATTCTGCTGTGTCTGCAGCACTGATATTAATAAATCTACTTATTTAACTGTAATCTAGTTCATGGGTATGTCTGGGACTTTCCATTCCTGTAAGACCAGTGGAGTGCTTCAATGCCCCATTTGTTTGATTTTGCAAGTCTTGCAAGTGAGAGAGTTATCTGATGAAGGAAACACCATCTCCTGTGATTCCCTGGAGATTATAGCAGCCTTAGACAATTGCAAAAATAAATGTATGCTTTTGTGCCCATAGTTCTTTCTTCAAGGAAGCTGAAACAGCACATGAAGCTTACGGGAGACTCACATTCTGCCTCAGCAAGAACAACGTGGGGATGACAGGAACTATAAGCATAGAACAGGAGTCTTAGCAAACATCTCCTTGTCTACTTTACCTACAAATGAGAACAGCAATTGGAATTGTAATACTGGGTTGTTTATTATTTTAAACTAATGTCATCAAGGACTCAAAGTTTTCTGAGTTGTTTTAATTAATGGAATATACAAAGAAGTATTTAAGAAGACTAAAGAGATTCTGCTCTATTCATTCAAAATTTAGAGATCAAATGCATCAAAATGAAAATTTCATTCCAAAATTAAAATCTCAGGGATTTTTTTCAGTTTCGCAGTATTATTTCTAAAGAGTGATGGTAGGATTTTATTTTTCTTTATATACTTAAAAAATGCCCTTTAGCATTCCCCATGCACTGTCTGAAAGCAGACTGATAAGGTGATGTTTCGCCTTTGTTGACAGGAGATAATGCAGAACACACTGGGAAAGGTCATGATGACAAAGCTGAGTACCCTGCCTTTCCTCACAACAGAGTTGCTGAGACACAGTGACCATTCCTGAAGGACGTAAATACTGTATATGGACTGGACTTCCTCTGCATGGCACTACCTCAGGTCCAGGCGCAAATGGAAGCGCCTTCTTGCTTTTCTGCTTCATGATCGCCATTGCTTTTTTTACACAACCTGTCTTTAATCATGGATGTAGTTTTTCTATCTGCAGAAACCCTGAAAGTCTCCTCTGGTTTTGGATCAGTGCTGAGGAGAGCTTTCATATCTTTTCTCCAGTTCGGTACCAGAGACACTGAGGAGCCTTTCAGACACTCAGGCTTTGCAGAGTCTTCTGCTCCTCAGTCTTCTCCTAGGCAGGGACCAGGGAGTATTGCCCTGTCAGTTTGCGTAAATTCAATTTTTTCTGCCAGAGTGTGTGTGATGCTGGTGCTGTATTTTAAGGACATTTTACTTCCTCGTCTTTCCTGTCCCATCTTGTCTTAGTCTTGTCCAGTGTTAGCCTGCTCCCAAGTCTGAAAGAACTACCAATTAAAGCATCCAGAACAGCTTTGCAGCCCTTGTGGCTGTTCCTTCTTCTGGACCCATCTGTCAGTCTCCTGTGCTTCATCACCATTTCTCAGAAGCTGATACAAGGGCACTTGCCTTTTGGATAGGCATCAACAGCAGCGCTAACCCATTTGTTTGCTTTGGCAAAGGGCAGAGAAGAGGAAAAATGTTTAGCCCTAATTTCCCTTATGACTTTTGTCCTTTAAAGTTAAAAAGTCTTCAAAGTTAAAGTCCTGCTGTTAATGTAGCTATTTCTGACTGAAATGTGTATGTTGTCTACATAAAGCAAGTAAATCTTATAGCAGAAAATAAATGAAGTGTGCAGTGCTCAGGTTGAGCCTGTCCTGCAGTAGGTATATAACCCACGGGTCTGAGCTCACCAGCCCAGCTGACACAGGCACTTTCTGCTGATGGAGGAAAAGTGTGCTCTCAACGTGCCCATTTCTCTGTATCAGCTACAGAGGAACCTCTTGACTTTGGACGCTCCAAATAGCAAGAGTGGGTGAGATGTACTGAGATCTGCCTGAGTTAAGAGCACTGTTTACCTGAAATGAAAGACATGGAAGGACTACAAAGTGCACGCACATCTGCACACAAACACCTTTCTTCATAAACCTGAAGCTGGTATTTCTCACGGTTTGGTGAGTTTGACTTATTTCAAGCTATTCTCCTTACTCCACTCTGTCCTGTGGGCAGTGTTCCTCTGTGCCTCTCCTCTCTGCTACGAAAAGAGAGTCTGATACAGACACTGTCCAGCCCAATGTGGGTAAAGGGAAAGGCCGAAGAGGCAGCAGAGAAGTGACCAGAGGGAGGACAGTGCCTTGTTTGCTTTTCTAAGGCATCACTGTGCTCCATACAGATAGCCAAGTTAGATTTTCAAACTGGCTAGCTCTGCTATTGCCAAGTGTAGCAGCTCTCTGAAGACAACTTTTCTTCTCATTCAAATTCAGCTCATCTGATTTTTTTCAATATTTTCGGTTGTTAGAATTGGCACCAAAGTGAACCAATACTTGTAGAAATTCCTTTCTTCCCAGTAAATCTTTTCCCCCTTTTCCTTGTGATGGCAAGGAAAAGGATTTCAAAGAGTGCTGGCCTATAGACTTGCATAGATCCACAAGCTTCCTTCTCCCATTTTTTGTTGGCTATTGCGAATCATTGAAATCAGCACTCCAGCATTGAAGGTATCTGTGTTGCGCTCCCAGTCAGATCTTTGGAGACAAATTACAGTAAAGAAGTTCACGACTTTTGTGGAAATTGTAGGCCCCAATCCACTAAAGCATTGAACTTTATCAGCTGTTATTACCAAAAAAAAGGATAAATGATGCTTGGTGCTTTGTAGAATCGAGGTTTTTTTTTTTTCCCAAGCCTATATAAAGGTGAGTAAACTACACTGGAAATCAACAGTAGACTGTGAGAACATAAGACTGAGGGTTATATATTTATGCTTGTGCATGTTTTTATATAAACATAATTCATTAACTGCCATTTTAACGCAGAGGGACACAAATCATTCTGATCTGTGACTTTGTGTGCTCCAAGAAACTGCTAAAATTTCAGTTAGATAAACAAGGCTTTATCTAACCCTGGAGAAATTGTTCTTTGATTTACGATTTTATCAATTGGTTTCCATGGAAAGTACTTAGTAGCTCTCCAAGACCATTGTAATACAGATAATTTGCTAACACTTCCACATTTGCTGGGCCCTTATCACAAGAGAAAAAGCATAACTCATTGCTTTGGGGCTCTGTATTCCTATTGCTCATCCACAGAAATAAGGTCAGTAGGTCCACATCGTCTTTATTTTTTCTAGTTATTTATTTTGCATGCAGCACCATTTAATGAGAATTTCTGCTGTGCCATCAGCCCAGCACTATCAGCAATTTGCAGAGTTTTACTTCTAACTTTTGCAGCAGTCCTCTCTGATGAGCTTTCTCTCTGTAAGAATATATTTTCACCTCTCTCCTTTCTTGTCTGGGATGAAATCTTTGAAACTCTGCGGTAACTGGGAGCTGGGACTCAGTAAAATATCTGAAATAGAATATGCGGTACAGAACGCATATCGGCTTTTAGCTCTCGGGTGCAATTTGTTTATTTAAGGTAACATTCAGAGATTCTAACTATTCTTTTCCCAATATATGGGACTCCTGAGAAATTAAGTTATTTGCAGTCCCTCTAAATTATTGTAGCTATAAACTTACAAAATATTTGATAAGCAGATACTGATATTTCTCTATCGGTTTAACTACTGCGGACTGATGAAAGAACATTCACCTCTTGCTGACAGGAGAAAACAGCTCATACTGCAAGGGAAACCATGACAGAATCAAGCACCGTGTTGTCCCTCGTCACAGACAGATCCAAGCTTAACGAAATCCAGTCTGACGGCTCAGAAGATAGCATATTTTTTTCTGGAGATAGTCTTTGTCTCTTTTATGCTTCCCACCACCATTTTGGGATGAGGTGGAAATGGTATCATCGTATGGTTTCTTTGCTTCAGGATGAAGAGGAACAAATTCACTGTGTATATTCTAAATCTGGCCATTGCCGATTTTACCTTTCTCTTTAGCTGCTTTATTACTTTCTTACTAATTCTAATGAACCTGCAGTCACCTGTTTTAGAGAAATATCTCAGTCTTGTGGTGGACATCATTTTCTACTTTGAGTACAACACTAGTTTCTTTCTTTTGACAGCCATCAGTGCAGAGCGGTGTCTGAGTGTCCTTTTCCCAGTATGGTGCCAGTGCAATCGGTCTAAACATCTCTCAGCATATGTGTGTGCTTTTCTGTGGACTCTGTCTTGCCTGGTCAGCGGAATGGAGTATTTTTCCAAAATGAAAGACACACAGTCCCAAGACACTAGGATACCTGATGCAGTAGCTATATTATCTTGTGTATTAAATTTCCTAATTTTTACCTCCATCATGGTCCTCTCCAGTTTGATCCTGTTCATCACTGTCCAAAGGAGGCCTCTGCAAAACAGACCCCACATGAGGTTTTACATCACCATCGTCGTCACAGTCACGGTATTCCTCATCTTTGCCACGCCTGTCAGACTCACAAACATTGTGAAATATTGGCTCTCTGAATTGGTGTCAGCTAGACTAGTTTACATTTCTGTTTCACTCAACACCATCAACAGCAGTGCAAACCTTTTGGTCTACTTCTGTGTAGGGGGCCAGAGCAAGCTGAGATTCAGGGAACCAATTCAGATAGTGCTTCAGAGAGCCTTAAAGGATGGGACAGAGAGGGAAATCTGAGAACAGAAACAGTCGAGACTGGGTCAGAAACCCGCGAGTCTAGTTACAAGTCCTTGGTAATGGGATTCACTCTGTGGCTTACAAACAGCCCTTCATGCCAGGGTAAGTTACTCTTCTCTGGGTACTACAGCATTAGACTGCAGTTAGGGGTGACTTTCATGTTTGAGGAGAGAATATTTTTTTCTTTTACTCCACTCACCCTTTCTGTCCCAGGCTATTATCTTCGGAGAAAAATAGGCTTTTGCCTAAGCAAATCCTGGATGATAGTTATTTTGGTGAGCAGTTCTACTCACAGTTTCAAATTAAGGCAGCTGCAGATACTATGTCTGCAGTCTTCATTTTTGCCATGTTTCAGAACAGAGGAATTGCATTTCAAACTAGCTACTGCCAGCCTCTCTTCCTCTCAGTAAAGGTAAATATACTAGGAACACTATAAGTCTGCATGCCTGAGAATTGAGCTTCCTAACTGCAACAACATAAACCCCGATTTCCTTGGCTAAAGTGGAGCACAGTGTTTGGCTATATCTTGGACAAAGATTTCTGTATACTTCCAGCCCACTGAGAACCGGGCCTGTGAGTGGAAAGCAGATTCAGATTGATTTCATTGGAGAAGTTTAAATATAGTTCCAGAAATGTTCTCAGTTTAGGCTTTTTATTATCTATAGCCTTTTCTGCTTTTATAGAGATTTAAAATGTTCCAAACTTAGTACGGAGAACAAGGCTTCAAAGAGATTTGACAGTGGGATTTCCTTACTGATTTATGTGTTGTCAAACTTGCTGTGTGACAAGGACACATGGAAGGACCTCATAAAGTTCTGTCAAGCCTTACTTTCTATATTATGTTTTGATAATTTTTGGAGTAACTGTTTTTAAATCCTTCTTTACTAACAGATGTATTTTATCAACATATATGTCATTTCAAAATGGTATCTTATTTAAAGTATGTCTTAAAAAAACATTTTGCCAAAGTAAAGCATCCTTTGAGAACGTTTCTGTGGCAAAAACTCCGTTTGTAGATTTATTTGAGATACTCTGAAAAAAAAAAATCACTAAATTCTACTCCAAGTTTTAATGAGATGGATCAGATCACATCTCAAAAAATGGAACACAGGAGACCAAAGCAAGAGAAACTGCAGCGTTATAAAGGCCTTGAGTCTTTGCAGATAAGGAATCAGTGAGGCAAAAAACATTCAGACAAGCCTACTAGGTGGGCTACCTTCCCCTGGAAACAGAAGAAAATTAAAATCACACAGGGTCCCTGCCAAAGTAATTTGAGGGAAATTTCCTCCCAGACCCCAAATTCAACAATGAGTCTGGGGAGATGTATGTGAAACACCAGTGAGGTGTTTCTGTACCACCTGCAAGCCTTGGCCCAGCCATGCAGAGAACCACTCCTGTCTCGAGCTGCAGTCTCTAACCACTGCACAGCGCTGTGATCTGCAGGGCAGCCTAAGGGGATATGTGAAACAACACAACTGTATCCACCTGCACACACCCCAAAGCACACCACCCCTTCCTGCAAATACCCTGTGAAAATGTTTATTTCTGTGAAAGTATAGTTTATGACTCTGCGAAACAATAGAAAATTTACCTGAAAAGATAAGTCATCCCTTTCCAAAGCAAGACACAACAGACAATTTGGGGAATTTTTAAAAATGATGTTAGAGAAGGAAATCGTAATTGATTTATCTTCAGCGCTGTTAGAGAAGGAAACTGTAGCTGACTTTAGCTTCAGCTCAGCGTAAGTGCCTAAAGTAGATGAAGGCTGCGGGCCTCAAGGCCGAACTGCCAATGAACTCGAGAAACATTGCTGATGATGTAACATTGCTGAGGATGTAACTGCAGAACTGATTAAAACTAGCTAATAAAGATAGAGAACTAGCTAATGAGGATACAAAGTAGAATGCAGGAGACAAGATGGGATGCACCTGGGTTGTGGTTGACCTTGGAGAAGATAAGGGACTGTGGGAAACAAGGACATGGCAACCAGCCTGGGAGGTAGGCCAAGACCAATCAGGAGGAGAGAGACACCAATCAGGAGGAAAGAGACCACCGACTCAGTAAAAAAGACTGAAGGAGACCTTCTCTGGCAGGCAGGGAAATAAAACTGTGAAGGGTATAATCACTCCAGAATTTCTTTGTTCAGGGTCCCTACCCGGAGGCACCCAGCTCGAGCTGTTACTATGCTGTACCGTCATTTAAATAAATAATTAATTTTGCTGCTATACGTGTGTGAGACTCTGCTCCTCGGAAACCTAGAGTCAAACTGTTTCCATAACAATGGTTGGGTAGTCGCGTGCCTCAGAGAGCTAGAGAGAGTGTGGGAGGGCCAGGAGGAGGCTGAGGCCAGGGTAGTGGGCCAGCAGACAGGGCATCCGGTGCTGCTGCCCCCGGCTGTGCGGTACAGGCATGCATCCAGGCTGGCTCTGGCCACCGTCAGAGGCTGGTGCAGAGCAAGGCAAACACAGCAGTATTGACGTGGCCACTGGACACCTGCCTGGGGATGAAGGAGACTTGCCAGGGCAGAGCAGAGCGGCACCCTGCTCTGGAAAGCAGTTAGTTATGACATTTCCCTGCTGAAGGCTTGGTCCTGCCTTGCCTCTTGGTGAAAGTGGGGCCGTCCAGGCTGGGTTCTTCACCCTGTGGGGGACATCTTTTGCTCTGGGCTAAGTCATGACTTAACGCTCAAGGGCTCCTGAAGAAGTAAAATCAGACCCCTGAGGCAAGCAACAGAGAGTCACAGCGCTAAGCAAAGAGCCACGCATACAGGGGAAGCAGGAAGATGAAGGAGCCATGAGAAGGAAGAACTGAGGGGCAAACAGGGATTAGCTTAACTTGACACTGCACCGTTCCCCCCTCTCAAGGACCTCCACCTCCTGTTTCCGTGAACGCTGCCAAGTAACCCTGCAAAACACGCCCAAGCAAGCAGGCAGGAGCGATGCAATGCCATTCCTCCCCTGCTGTGAACAGCTGCGGGGACGGCAACCTCCGCGTCTGCCTCTGGGTACCTCTGCAGAGAATCCTGCCCTGCCTGCATAACGAGAGCTTGTGGCGTGGTTCAATAAGACCCACAGAAACTGATCTCATTGATTTCAGAACATTTCCCAGCATGGTCTGTGGATTGTGACCATATTCTCAAAGGTATGTGCGCTTGCTGGATGTAATACACTTTGGGCTTTGTCCTGAAGCCTCCACCACCCTCCAGAATGAAGTCAGGCAGAGGCAGCAATGGCCAGAAGTGAGCCATTGTCAGAGGATTTTTCATTACCCAACCATTCTACCTCCAGTATCTCAGCTGTGATCTTCAATGGAGACCTAGGAAGTGCTTTCATAGCATGAGCCTGGGAACTAAAGTTCATAACTTTCCTGGACAATAAATATCATGGATTCAACATTACTGTTCTGGCAGAAATTCCATCCTTGGTTAACTCTTCCACCCTACTCTGGACAGAAATTTTCATTTGAATTACAGCATTATCACCTCTATCACGAATGCCAACCGCTGTGTCTCTAAAGTCATCTAAATTAATCTCAGAGCAATTGTTCCCAGACTATTAGCTTGTAGATTTTGCTGCTATTACAGATTGCATTTTGTGCATGTGCTGAAAGGTGTTTTTTAAAAGAAATTTTTAAAATTTCCTAATTTACATGCACCAACTTAATGCAACATACTGACTCACTCTTGCTTCCATTCAAATTCTCCGAGTCCAAGGGCTTCGTAAGGAAAATATCCATGAAAATGTTTTATTCCATCTTTTGTCCAGCTTTAGGAATTAAGATGGGCAAGGCAAAATTCAAAGTGATCCTACCAGCATGCAAACAAAACATGCAAAAAAACTCTGGTACATAGAAACATCTAATGCAATAAATCTGATTTTATTTATCAGGGTGAAAAGGAAGAAGAGTAGTGATAAACAATTGTTCTTCTTCCTTTTTTGTTGGGATCCTCAAACTTATTCCCAGGAATACATCCAAGTTTTCAAGTTGTTATCCTCTGCCCGATACCTTGTTCCATGTTTTTAAATGAATTAATTCTTCCACAAAGTAGTTCTCACTGAGCAGCCTATTATTATGCCAAATGCACTGACAGTTTAGGACGGTGAGTATCAGGCTCTTGACAAGTAAATAAGGTAAAGAGAATCCCAGGCTCAGAATTCTCACAGTGTCAAAAACTCAATTACATTCAAGTGTGAAAAGGAAGTAAGACTATAATTTGCAATCACATGCTTTCATAGGCAGTCCTTATTATAAACAGTTGCCAAATCAAGAATACATTTTTTACAATTAGTTTTGCAAATTAGATTTAAAATACTGGTGAAGAGTTAGTAATAGGAACACAAAGTGTTAGAAATGCCCGTATTTGTCCCTTCTGTTTGGAAAGCTTCATTAGGTGGCAGTGAAATCTCTTCTGTTCCCAGCAAAAACAGTGTACTTTTTGTTTTTAAAGCATTTTTCTACAGCCTTGCCCTATCACTGTTACACAAACGCTGCGGTAGTGTGGCTAACAGATGGGGTACTGTACTGCGTTGTGCCGCAGGAAACAGGGCTTCTCTGTCCTGCCTCGGATACCAAGCTGCTGTGCGGTCTTGAGCTCAGCATCTCAGCTCCCTCCTGCCCTGCGGCCATTTGCCTGCGCCCACGGGGAAGCACGCAGGGGCAGGCTGCCTTTTCGGCCAGGACACGCACCCTCTCCCGAGCAGCCGGCTGGGGGTGCCACGGCCCCTCGCTGCTGGCGCTGCCCCTTGCTGCAGGTTGCCAGCTGCCCACATCAGCCGCTCCAGCCCTCTCGCCTGTTTCTGCTAAACCGGGGCTGGGTGGGCTGCGTGCTGGTGCCGCCCCATTGCCCGAAGCAGTTCAGAGGGTGAACGTGCAGGTACCCGAGAGCAGCGGTAACCTTCGACAAGGAGGAGGTGGCATGAAGATGAGGGTGCCAATATCATCAGCCTGGGGCTGACTCCTGGTTTTGCCCTGCTGCTCAGCAGTAGCAAACCCTCCCCACG